TTGGAAGGTGAGCGGGCGCTCTCCCGCTGTCCAGGCTCCCGTCCGGGTACGGGTCTGCGCTCTCCCTTGCCGTGCAGCCGGCCAGGCTCCTGGAGGCTCCCACGGGCACACCCAGGTCTCCACACCGGGAGGCTGGGGCGGGGGGCGGGTTGCTACTGCACCTCATGGCACTTAATGGGCTCCTTCCATCAGATAAGTGCTCTGTAGGCTCTCAAAAATGAATCCTCTCACCGTCAACAGGCTCACACCGTTAATGGACTTTTATTTTTCCCTTGGCTATTCGGCATTGTTTACTGAGTGTTTACAGCTGGCAGAGAGCACCGAGTTGCTTTACCCGGCCAAATCGTCCGACTCTCTCCTGGTTTTCAATCCCCCAGAATGGCAGGAAACAATAATGAAGGTGAAAGAGGTGAAATCTGGACTCCCAAAGTGATCATCTTTCCCTAAATGTCTCCAAGTGACACTTGACCATCCAGTCTGAGCCACGCTGATGTTTGATTTGGATAATGATGGGTTTAATCCAACGCCTCAGCAGGTAACCACATGTAAGTGCAGTTCAGAGCAGCAGAAGGGTGTGCTGGGCAGAGTACACCTGGGCTTCGGTGACTTGGGACTGGACACACAAGGAACACAAAGATGCTGTTTTGATAGACTTGCAACTTTCTAATTCTTAGTAGGTGGATGTGGAGTCAGCTGGGAAATGCAAGGGTTGTACTTTATTAAAAAATATATTTTATTTCTAAATAAAAGCCTGAAATTTATATGCCTTCATCCATCATCCAGTGCCTTCCACTCAACAGCTCAAGGAGCTCTACAAGCTCTTGGCCAAAGTGCCATTTGCTGTGGTCAGGAAGAAGCCACAAATTTTGCAAGGACCAAGCATGCTGCTAACCTCATGAAGGCAACCAGAATCCCCAGAGAAGGAAACATTCCACTGGGTCTCCTGTGGATATCAGAGGGCTGGACTGGTGACAGGAAAAGGATATAATGGGGAGACATAATCAGACCATTTCACTGTCTTGGTATCAACTCTTTCCTACGGAGAGTTGTGCTCTGCAGCTCAGCTCCACCATTATACCCAGCTGATGAATCTAGAGCAGACCTGTTTGGGTTTTTTTTCCTGCAGGGGCCCTGAGGGAACACATTGCTGGGACAGGCAATGCAATGCGAGCCTGCAAAGGTACAGGAGCGCTTCCCTGCACGGGGACTCTGATCAGTGACATGGCCTCCTAACAACCCCGCTTTCTCCCCAGCTAATGTTGTCCATCTACTATAAAACAACTATTACAGAGCAAAGGCTGGTTGTACAGATTATGTCTAAAGGGTTCTTGAACTTCAAGTCTACAGACACAGGGCTCTGAAATCTCAGAGCCCTGAGGCTCAGTGTTCTCCTGGCATAGACTTGTTCACTCTGATGGGCTGTGCTGCCCTAATACACTGACAATGGAGTATGATTTAAATTTCTATTTTCAGTGGATTCAAGTATAAATTAGAAGAACAGTTTAAATTAAATACACTTTGTCAGGAAACATACATTTTGAGGAGGGGGTTAAATTCTGGATGATACAAACTTCCTCAGCACTCCCGTGGCAGTCAGAGCAGTTTGGAAAATGTTATCTTCTGAAAAATCAGAAGCCTGGGAACACCAGGTTTCCTCCTTAGCAGAGAGTGGCTGTCCATGCAGGAGAGCATCTGTGCTCTTCAGTCTCCCCTGCTGTAAAAATTCCTGCCTGCAGTGAAGGAAAGAAAATTGGCTCCAGAGAAGGGCTGCTGCTTTACTTGAGTCTTGTGTTTGCAGAATGCAACTGGTTTAATTACACCTAAGACTGTTTTAAGTGCTAGAAAAGCTGTCTATGTTCACACCAGCATATGATCTTTCCATTTACCCAGCTGGATGCTGTTACAAGTTTCCTGTTCATTACCTGTTTGTTTTGGCAGGACTTCTCAAGGGTGACAAAAGCAGAAATCAGTGGCTAAATACAGGCAAAACATCTCTCGTTGATGCTCTGGCTTTTGAGGGGGGGCTTTTTTTGCATGTAAAAATTTCAGTGCTCAGACTTAAATAGCAAGGATATAGAATAGTGACTGCTGCTGTTTTTTTACAGGGAGTCTAATGGGAAAGATGAAGAACTCCTTGGAAGCCAAAAGAAGGAAGAAGAAAAGTGGGAGGAAAAGGAATGTGAAAAACATGATGGTGTCGGAGACAATTTGAGAACGGCTGTGAGCTTTAGGGATGCCTGTGTGAGTAGTCAAGTGATGGTGAGACAGGGGAGCTGCTGTAGCAAAAACCTCTGTGAGAACAATGAACAAATGAGTCCTTGTTGTCACCATGTTTCTGGAAATATGAGGGCCTCTGCAAAGCCTGAGAAAAGCACTGTGGAACCAAGACATGATGCTGGAAAAAGCCCTGAGTCCCACTGGCTGCAGACACCAGTAACTCACCTTAGGGAGGCTGCTTGAGGCAATGGCAGCCTGAGCCACAGACACTGCTTTGAGACGTGGAACACGTGGCCAAGAGTCCACCCTTTGTGCTTGTCACAATAACACACAGGAGATCCAACAGATCCCTCCCCAGCCCCCAGGCCTGGAAGGTGTGCTTCGAGCATTACCTTCTTCTTACCCCTCTGCTGCTACAACACTGCCAGCTGGGCCAAGCTGGTTCTCAGTGGTAAATGAGGATGTACATCCATGGTGTGGAGACAGCTCTGGTGGGGGGGGGCATCCTCAAGGGAGGTAAGCAAACACTGGGTATTAACCACTGGCCCTGTTAGCGCAAACCACCAAAGGCTCCTGGGAGAAAGGCTATTACAGGAGGGGAAGCCCTTGGGAGTTTATTTTGTAAAATGTGAGTAAAACCAGGGATGAACAGAGACTCCAGGGCAGAGATGGGGAGTTGTTCTGGCATTCCAGGGGAGCCATCCTCAGCTTCCGCACTAGCACAGCCCTTGCAGGCAGTCACAGCAATCCTCAAGAAGGT